TCATAGTAATTTCAAGAATATTTCTTATCACTGAATTAGTTCTTCTTCTTCTCTCCATTCGTCATCATTTAATGTTTGGATGTTGAACTTTTTTTTTATTTTTGGGGGGGTTGGAATGAAAAAAGTTGAAACGGAAAAACTGAATATTGAACTTTTATTTTCAGGTTGTTGATGTCCTTGCATCGAAGGGTGTAAAGATGGTTCCTTTTGAGTTGAATTACACAGTAGAATCAGTTCAAGGTATCCTAAATTTTACTATGGATGTTGATACATTGGCTCACTTTGACAAGTGGCAACGCTCGAACCAGGATGATATTTATGAATCTCAAGATCAATGGCCTCTCGAATTACGCCGTGCACGAGTCATTCCAGCAGTAGACTATGTGCAGGTTTTGTTCTTTGTTATCTCATCACTATTTTTCTTGAGTTTCTGATGTTCATGATGGTGTTTTGCAAGACTATCTTCCAGTCTATTAAATGACAGAGAGAACGTCCAAATACTTCATTCTCCAAGATGCATCATTTTGTAGGATGTTGACAATCAACACACATCATTTTTTATATCCTTACTATTGAGATATGCATGATTGTCTACAGGCACAAAGAGCTCGGGGAAAATTGATTTGCGAAGTGAAGAAAAATTTTTTTGTTGATGCATTCATTGGCAATGCAACTGATTGGGAGAAAATTTGCTTGGGCAATCTTGTTGGTTTACCTGTAATTGTCATTCCAACTGGATTTAAAAATATTTCAGATCCTCCTCCTGGAGGAACTCTTAGAAGGACCACTATCAACACTGGCATTTATGCTCCTCCGGATCATGATCACATTGTAAGCTCCATTCATCACCATATCCATCTACCCATACCATACACAAAATTACTAATTAATATTTTTTTTATACATCCCACTGCCCACCTTTCTTACTCCCAAGTTTTTCAAGCCAAGTGCCGTTGGGAGCCATGAATTATGTCATACTGTGGAAGCTTACCTCTGCTAACACGATGCTGACACTGTTATTCTCACCCTAAATCTCCCTCTTACGAATGCAGGCATTAGCATTGGCCATGGCTTATCAATCAGTCACAGAACACCACAAACGCCGCCCACCCATAGATCGATTAGGCCCAAATGATCCAATTCCAAGCCTGTCGACAGCTACGGTATGATTTTCTATTTTGCTTTGCTATAGCTTTTTTCTGTCATGTTATCAATGTGCCAATGCAACTAGTCCACTAGTTGGGTGAAAGATTTGTCCTGCCGAAAAGGGAAAACTAGGGGGATTTCCAAAATTCAATTTGGAAACCCTTTCTTGTTATAGTAGGGACCATATTGATGAACTTTTTTTATAATCTTGCTGTATATAGAAATAAAAATTTATGATGCACACAGGACGTATTTCTGGGAAAAGTTATGTGATGGGTCTCTCGCCTTTTACCATAAGATTCTCCGAGTAATTCGGTGCTTTTTTAGGTGAACAAGTGCCCTTCCTTTTTTTTTTTTTTTTTCTCTTTGAAGATAAGATTTTCGATATTTTGCCACAACATAAGAAAATTGTGCAATGAAATGTTTGGAAAGTGAAAAACGTTCCTAAAAAATTATTTCTTTAAGGAAATTAACTTCAAATCTTAATAGTTGTATGTTAAATAATTTAATGTAATTCTATATTTGATAAGATATTTTTACTAATATTTTAGTTTAATTAAACTATTAAATTTGAAAAACAGTGCTACTTTTTTTTTATTTACATAAATGCGTAATGGGCGTTGTGCAACCGTGGAGTTGTAACATTTTGGTAGTGATGTCAACAAAACAAAGCAAAATAAAAAAATAAATAAAATTCACAAATTAAAATAAAAAAATTTAGAGACTAATATAATAGTTTATTTTAATGTTTAAATAGATTAATTATATAACTTTTAATTACATCAGTTTTAATTTAAATAAAATTTAAACTAAACAATCAATTTAGTTAAACGTTTCTAAACTTTATTTTAGAGTATGATTCTAATAACTTGTATAACTATGGTATTCCTTTATCTTATAGCCAATTCAAACGGCTACTTAAACGGAAGTGGAACTTTCGTGGCCCTCGCGCTTACAACAACGATAGAAGAGTCTCCAATTTTGGTATGTTTCATCATTTTTTTCTTTTTAATAATTAAAAATTACTCAACGGTGTTCATATAAATATTTACCCAGATAAATGGTATTATCCTATTTGCAATTAAAAAATAATTAGAAAAAAGATTTAATTTTTTTTAATTCTCCATTCTTTTAACAGAAGAAATCCAATATAAATAAACACCATGGTTTCCTTGTGATACCCAGCAAATTGATTTGTACGCAAGTGACACCACTCTCACATGCGCGGCACGTGATTACAATATTACAATAAATAAATTTAATTATCTTTTTCTTTTCTTTATAAAGAGACGTACGATAAGTGATTATAATTTTCTTTTTAAAAAAAAAAAAAAATAGTGTGGCACGTCACACATGAATTTTGGGCATGCTGTATAGCTTAGACTATAATCATTTAATTTAAACAAGAGAAAACTTTAACCCACGGATTAATGGGTTCAATTTCACTTCTTTTAATAGTGCTTATTACCCTGATTTTATTATTATTACACATAATATTATGATTTATTTTGGTCCTTAATTAACTTAGGTAAATAAAATTACATTTACCCATATTACATAGTTTGCTTAAATAGTTGTAAATCATTTAGGTTTTGTTATTATTGCAAATCCTGTTCTAACAAAATGGAAATAATCATTCAATGCATCAAATCTTCACTTTATTCCTATTATTATCATTATTATTATTATTATTATTTTACACTAAGCTCACTTAGTTAAATCATATATACTTCATTTTTACTCTTAAATTTCAAAACAAAACAAAAAAAGATTTATTTGATATGCGCCAATTAATTTTAATTAACCAGAATATTATAAACACCAATTTTAGATCAAAGAAAATGAACACCAGATATTAGTGTCCAAAATTAGAATATTGAAAATGGAAACAAAAAGGTGGTGAGATTAGAGTTGACGACAATGCAATTTAAAGAAAGAAAGAGAGGTGAATTAGGAAAGTAAAATTTTACCGTGCATAAAAAAGGAAAGTGGTTTGTTGCGGTAAATGGTAAATTAACTGCTTAACCAACGCAATGCTAATCTACTACTTATACCATTCTATTTCTAGCTACCACCTCACTGACACGCTATAACTGAGGTGGAGCACTTACAAGCACCACCATATTCCACTCAAGTTTTTATATATATATATAAACTTGGTCAACAAAAATCCAAAATACAGATACGTATATTCAGTAATATCTCGCCCATTACTTTTCTTTTTTTTTTTTTTTTTTGAAGAAAGAAAAGTCAAATATGGAGAATCAATTTTCTCTCCTAAATAATTTTTAGGGGTAACATATATAAGTTGACATACATACAACGGTCTGAGTATTATTTGAGATATTGTCAGTTATACATATATATTTATTAAGAAATTAACAAATTATATATATATATTTTTTACTTTAACGTATGATAACAATTGATGGAGTTCAAAATAGGTTTTGTAAAACTCTAACACCAATTTACACTAAAAAAAATATAAAACTTTACTAAATCCATCTAATTCGTTGAGAACTAAAAATTAAAATTAAAAAAAAAAAAATTGAGGTTAAATAATTCCGAGCATTAGAACAATGAAAAATTTATTAAGTTTAAATAAGTTAAACAATTAAAGAATAGACTGAATAAAAATAATATTGTAATTTAAAAAGACTTTTTCTAACGAATGATAACAACAAATATTTCTATTATACATTATTTAAATCAAGAAAATTACTCTAATAGAGCAATTAAGGCAAGACAATTTCATAGCATCGGAGTAATTGAAGACTTATTTGTTATAAACAAATAAAAAAAAATAGATGGAATAAAAAGAGAATAAATTAAACAATATAATAAACCAAAAAAAAAAGAAAAAGAAAAAGAAAAAGATTAAACAGATATAACAAAATAAAATAAATAAGACGGCTCACAAATAATCCAACGGGCGATCATCTACTAATTTTTGGTAGCATATTTTTATAACATGAAAATTATTTTAGTCGAAAATCAATAACAGTTAATATATATATATATATAGAGCGTTTATGTATTAATGGCTAATTCTTTTACTCGACCCTGTTTTAAAAGAAAATTAAAAATTATGAATTCGTTAATTAGTCAAATTAGTCAGTGATCTGGTCGATTCAGACCATGGGTCTGTTGAAGAAAAATAAAAAATAATTAATTATTTTACTAATAATAATTAGCACTAACGACCGGCTCTAGTTGTCCAAACAGCTCGTCGTTGAAGGGGACCCGTCGACTCGATGTCCGTCTCGGTGTCTCAAAGTTGGGTTCAGATTTGGATGAATGACTCGGCGGCAGTCAGTGGAGCAATCATTTTCCCAAGTCTACATAATATATAACCCTTTATAATGGATTTATTTATTTTTTTCCTCTAATGGTATTTTAGTAATTTTACAAATTTATGAGGGTATTTCGGTCTCTTTACTCCCCCCGCTTCTTGTTTATATCTTCCTCCTCTGCACGCCCCACCCGACCTCTCTCTTCTCTTGAGATCCGCCGACCCCGTAAACAAAACCTCTCTCTCTCTTTTCTTCTCCTGTTAATCTAGGGAGATAAGAGAGAATAAATTAATCTCCGTTTTTTTTTTCGTTCTTTTGTAGATCCAATAAGGCTCCGACTCCGATTGTATTCTGAATAATCCAGGTAAAATTATCTCTGTTGTTTTTTTTTTGTTTTTTTTTCTCTCGTAGATCTCTCTGTTTTACATCGTCGCACTTGGTTATGGATGTGGTGATTTTTTGGAGTCTTATCTGATTGTACGATAATGCATGTCGTAATTATGGGCGAACTGATTTGGATTGCTCTCTGGTTTGCTGTTCTCTGTTTTCGTTTTGTTATTGCACGTATTCATTTTTTTCCATTTCTCTCTCGGAAGGAATTGTAGTTCAAAAGTAATGGAGAAATCTTGTTTTTATCGTTGATGGATGGATCAGATTCGATCGGTGTTTGAACTTGTGTGTGATCGGCCTTACGGTGTTTTGTTTATGTATGTAGTGATTCGTGTGGTTTAATGATAATTCTGGCCGTTCCAAGTTTTTTTATTGATCTGCGGTGATGGATCTGATTACTGTCCTTGTAGTTTTCGGCTATTTTGTTTATGAATGCATTTACCATCGCTTTGGTCGATTCTATTTGTTGATGAATTGTTATTTTTTGTCGTTGCTGAGGTTAAAAAGACTCAAAACTATGTTTTCCGTTTGTTGAATTTTTCTGTGGCATAAGTTTGTTTGCGGGCTGAAAATATTTAAAGAATGTCCTATGATCAACCAAAAGAAAGTTAAAATTTTTGTTGTTAATTTGTGAAAGTTAAATATTATTCGGACTTTAATTGTTGAAAAATTATGTTGAATTAGCTTTCCTTTTGGTTGTAGATCTTCGTTGAGATGGCGTCATCAGCAACTGGAGCCAAAGCAGTGTATAGAGGGAGAGTGAAAGCTGTTCCTTCAGGGGACAGCTTGTTGATAATGTCCTTGGTCACCAACAAGTCTGGTCCCCCGCTGGAAAAGACTGTAACTTTGTCGTCGCTTATTGCTCCAAGATTGGTATGCTACTTTATTCACCCGCTAATACTGTTGACATTTATGTTACTGCTCTGGAGTTAATTAATGGGAATTTGTCAGATGAACACGTGTTTAGAAGATTCACGACTGCTTAAATTGTATTGTTTTGGCAAATCTGTTGTTTGCCACTTGTTTGAATTCGTAGTTACCTTTCTATTAATCTTCAGTTCCCTCACCCCACTTGTTTGCCGCTTGTACTCTCTCTCTATTTGTCGTAGTTTTTGCTAGCCAGTATGATGGTCGCTAACTCCTGTTGTAGTTCCAGCTTCTTCAGAAAACATCTTCATTTTAGCTTGATTATAAAAGATTTTAAAAGTATTAAAAGATCTTCTGTTTTTCGGATTCATTTTAATATTTGTAGGCTCGTAGAGGAGGACTTGATGAGCCATTCGCTTGGGACAGCAGGGAGTTTTTAAGGAACCTCTGCATTGGGAAGGTGCTTATTTATAAATATTCTGCTTGGTTGTTAGATGACAACCTATTCTTTTAGAAAATAATTGTAATTAGAATTAATATGCGTTTGAGCAGGAGGTGACTTTCAAGGTGGACTATACTGTTCCCTCCATCGGCAGAGAATTTGGCACTGTATTCCTTGGTGACAAAAACATTGCAATGCTGGTTGTTGAGAAAGGCTGGGCAAAGGTTACATCCTTGTTTTCCAAGTAGAACGCCAAGCTTAATTTTTGACATCGTTCTTTGTTGCATTAGCTGAATCTTCTATATTCAGGTCAGGGAACAGAGTCAGCAAAGTCAGCAGAAGGGGGAAGCCAGTCCTTACCATGCAGAGTTGCTTGTCCTTGAAGAGCAGGCTAAACAACAAGGTCTTGGTCGTTGGAGCAAGGTTATCTTTTCTAATCCCCGCTTCCAAGACAACAAATCCAACTTGTTACGCCATATATAAAAGCAACTATTTATTTTTCTGAATTCTTATCAAATACTTTGGCTTGTGATTACTTGTGTTAGATGTTCCTCTCTTTCTCTCCTTGTCTCTTTCTAGTCTCTTAAAGAATTATTATCATACCATGAATGGCAATAGATTTCAAATTGGTTGCCATGTGGCACAGAAAAGGTTGGGGTTTTGGTGGGAGATTGTTAGCAGTTAATTTGCTCCCTTGTTCATATTACACTTCTGATATATGAAAGCATTCTGGATGGTGTTTATACTTGCTTATAGGTATCCGGTGCAGCCGAGGCATCTATCAGAAACCTTCCTCCATCTGCTATTGGTGATCCTAGCAACTTGGATGCTATGGGCTTACTGGCTGCAAATAAAGGTCGTTCCATGCAAGGTATTGTTGAGCAAGTTCGTGATGGCAGTACCGTCCGGGTCTATCTGCTTCCAGAATTTCAGTTTGTCCAGGTGTTCATTGCTGGAATCCAGGTAGACGTTCTGACCATGATTGCCATATTATCTATGATGAATTGCATTTTGAATGTCTCGTCGCTAATTATAAGATGTTAATTTTCAGTATTTTTGTTCTTTCTTTCCCCTTTTGAATTAGTCCCCATCAATGGGTAGAAGGCCTGCAGCAGAAAGTGTCGTCGAAACAGATGTTACCTCTGATGAACAAAATGGAGATGTTTCTGCCGAATCACGTGCCCCGTTAACATCTGCACAGAGACTTGCAGCTTCTACATCATCTGTTGAGATTGCTCCAGATCCATTTGGTCTGGAAGCCAAACACTTTACAGAATTCCGTGTTCTTAATAGGGAGGTAAATTGCTGCTGCTGGAAATTGACGCTGAGATTCCTATTCTTTAACGACCTAAACTTAGTATGAACTTTATAGGTCCGTATCGTCCTGGAAGGTGTCGACAAATTCAGTAACTTGATTGGTTCAGTATATTATCCTGATGGGGAATCAGCAAAAGACCTAGCATTGGAGCTTGTGGAAAATGTATGTTTCTGAACTTTGTTGAGTCATGAAGTTTCATATGTGTGTGTATGACTAAACACATGTTATCCGTAATGGAAAACAATTAAGCTATCTTGTTGATACATTTTTGTCTTCTTGTATGAAAATAATGCAGTTGTGTTTATATTGTGCATCTCTTTATACATTGCTTATATGTAGGGCCTGGCTAAGTACGTTGAATGGAGTGCAAATATGATGGAAGATGATGCCAAAAGGAGGCTGAAGTCTGCGGAGCTTCAAGCCAAGAAAAACCGATTGAGGATCTGGACGAACTATGTACCACCAGCCACAAATTCTAAGGCAATTCATGATCAAAATTTTACAGGAAAGGTAATAGTTCATGCTTTAAGTAAATCTCTCTTTCCAGCTTCCCCTTTCTTCCCTTCCTATTATATTCTTATTAAATTATCTTTGCTTTCTTCTCAGGTGGTGGAGGTTGTAAGTGGGGACTGTATCATTGTTGCTGATGATTCCATTCCATATGGCAGTCCATTGGCAGAGCGGCGAGTTAATCTTTCAAGTATTAGGTGTCCAAAAATTGGCAATCCACGTAGAGAGGAGAAGCCAGCACCCTATGCTCGTGAAGCAAGGGAGTTCTTGAGGACACGTCTTATTGGCCGACAAGTATGCATATTCACTGATTTTGTCTTTTTAGTTTGCTATTATAGTAAACGTGCATTATCGTTTGGCCTTTTTCTTTCAGGTGAATGTTCAAATGGAGTATTCCAGGAAGGTTGGTATGGTAGATGGACCCACATCTGGTGCTGCTGATTCAAGAGTATTTGATTTTGGATCAGTTTTCCTCCAGTCTCCTGTTAAGGGTGATGGTGAAGATGCAACTTCATCTGTTTCTTCAACTGCTGGCAGTCAGCCTGCTGGGGTGAATGTTGGCGAGCTTGTGGTTGCTCGTGGCTTTGGCACTGTTATTAGACATCGTGATTTTGAGGAACGATCAAACTATTATGATGCTCTTCTTGCTGCTGAATCACGGGCCATTGCTGGGAAGAAAGGAATCCATTCTGCCAGGGACCCCCCAGTCATGCACATAACAGATTTGACCATGGTTTGAAATCTGACAATAATAGTTGAGCTCTTCACTTCACTTTATTATTTGTGTTGTTTGTTTGATTATTTCTTTTATTTATGTGAATCTTTCAGGCATCAGTTAAGAAATCTAGGGATTTCCTGCCATTCCTGCAGCGGAGTAGGAAAATTCCTGCTGTTGTGGAATATGTGCTCAGTGGACATCGTTTTAAGCTTTTGATTCCTAAGGAAACATGTAGTATTGCCTTTTCGTTCTCTGGTGTCAGATGTCCGGGCCGTGATGAGCCGTATTCTGATGAAGCGATTGCTTTAATGAGACGAAAGATTATGCAAAGAGATGTTGAGGTAATTCTTTCTGTATGCACCTGATCATCTGCCAGTTTGCGTTGTTGTCTTCTTTGATAGAATAGCTCTATAATCTTTATGCACAGATTGAAGTGGAAACCGTTGATAGAACTGGAACTTTCTTGGGATCTCTATGGGAGTCAAAGACCAATGTGGCAGTGGCACTCCTTGAAGCTGGTCTTGCCAAATTCCAGACTTCCTTTGGTACTGACAGGATCCCTGATGCTCATCTTCTTGAGAAGGCTGAGCAATCTGCCAAAAGGCTGAAGCTGAAGGTAAGAAACAGAACAAATCTCATTCATCTGTTATTTGTTGCAGAAACAAGTTACCTGAATTTTTTTCTTCTCAGGTTTGGGAGAATTATGTTGAAGGAGAGGAAGTTTCCAATGGGGCTCCTGTAGAAAGCAAGCAGAAAGAAGTGCTAAAGGTTCTTAAGATATGATTTTGCACGGATTATCCTCTTTGTTTTGTTTTTTTCAAAAGTACCCTTCTCTTTTTCTGCAATCTTGTCTTTGACATAGAAGTTGCAGATAGTTACTTAATCGTTTTCTTTTGTTTTCAGGTAGTTGTAACAGAAGTCTTAGGTGGCGGTAAATTTTATGTCCAGACAGTTGGTGACCAGAAAGTGGCTTCAATTCAGCAACAGCTTGCATCTTTGGATCTGCAAGAACCTCCTGTAATTGGTGCTTTTAATCCTAAGAAGGGTGACATTGTTCTTGCTCAGTTTAGTGTAGATAATTCCTGGAATAGAGCAATGGTGAGCTTCTTTTTTGATCTTCTTCTCTGCTTGTTTGCATTTACACTTGCTACTGTTGCATGCTTTGAGTTTGGGGTTTTTTGTCGGATGTCTCTCCATGATTGCATATATTGCTTGTGAGATTAGTTGTCCCATGAGATTCTGGCATAACTTTGATGGTGCCATCTCTTACAATATGTCTTAAATTAAAACCATGTTGTTCATCCTAGTGACTTGAGGAAGTTTTTTTCATTAATTACATTTGGAAGCAGGGTTGGTTGGCCAACTCTCTTATATTTTATGCTATATTCCAAATCATCTTAAATCTTTCGAGTACTTGTGTAGTTGCCAGAAAATATATGTCATCTCTATATATTAATACCGAAATCCCTATTTCAAACCTGGGGTCTCAGCATGTTTTCCATCATAAGGCATTCCTATTGGCTCTAAATTTAATGTATTCTAGTTTCTAAGTAAATTTATTTGTTTGCTATGTGAAGATTGTAAATGTACCCCGAGGAGTTGTTGAATCCTCAAAAGACAAGTTTGAAGTGTTCTATATCGACTATGGGAATCAAGAGTGCGTCCAGTATAGCCAGTTACGCCCTCTTGTTCCTTCAGTATCCTCATCACCAGGCCTTGCTCAGTTATGCAGCCTTGCGTACATCAAGGTTCCAAGCTTGGAGGAAGACTTTGGTCATGAAGCAGCTGAATATTTTAGTGCTCGCACACTAGAAAGTGGAAAGGAGTTTCGGGCAAAAGTTGAAGAAAGGGATACTTCAGGAGGAAAAGTCAAAGGACAGGGAACTGGGACAGTTCTTGTTGTTACGCTCGTAGATGTTGATGCCGAGATTAGTGTAAATGCTGCCATGCTGCAGGTTTGAACACTAGCTTTCCCTCCTGTTTTATTATTGTTAATCTCAAGTGATCGCTACTAGAAAAAGAAGAACCTAATCAGATGGGAAATACAGTTATAATTTATAAACCAAGGCAATGAAAAATGCTCTTAGGTTTGTTATCTTAGGCAATAAGATTAAGGTTGTAGTCTAAGATGACTGGTCCTCTATTAGGTTTGTTATCTAAGATGATATATGCATTAAACATATATCTTGAATCTGTTTTTAACAAGTCATGATGTCTCAACTTATACTCTTCTTTTTTTCCTCTCTAAGTTTTGGTGTTTGTGTTTATGACCAAGACTCATGAATGTCTTAGCTGGGACTTTTAGTTCTAATATTTACCTCATTGGTTTCCAGGAAGGACTTTCTAGGATTGAGAAAAAGAAGAGGTGGGACTCGAAGGACAGACAAGTCGCCCTTGATAATTTGGAGAAGTTTCAAGATGAGGCGCGGACTGATAGACGAGGCATGTGGCAATATGGGGATATCCAGTCAGATGATGAGGATGTGGCTCCCCCAGTTAGAAAGCCTGGTGGTCGCCGATGAATGTAACCTTAAATCACACCAGAGGTAAACTTATGGTAGGAACAACTCAAGCAACTTAAAATGAGTTAAATTATAGGCGTGATTACCCTTTTTGGAGTGAGAACAGAGTAATTTGCAGCATTAACTTCTGGAAGTTTTTAGTAGCCAATTTCTTTTTTGGGTTTTTGTAGGCGAGTGGACAAATTTTGTTTTCATTTTATCTCTTTTATAGATTTCGTAATAAGGTAAACTCTCCCAGTCTTTCCTGTCTTTATGCGAAACATATAAACAAAATTCCAAGCTTATAGCTGCATACTCGATCATTATGCCTGGTTATTTATTTATTTATTTTTGTACCTGTATCAGTTCTTTCTTTGGCTAAACCGTGAAAGGATCTTTTGGCAACTGGCCTTGCTCATTGCAACCTTAGCTCGAACTTGACCAAGTTCTGAGTTTATATTTAGACTTGTTTGAATTGAAACTTGTCCGAATCTTGATTTAAATATAGCGTTTTAGGTATTCAGTTAAAACTTTTTACAAACGCCATGATTTATATAGAGAAAATGTATACTGTATATTTTTGCACATGCATTGATATTATGGATATAAAGTGTCGTGCTTATACTGTATTTATTTATATAAATAAAGATATAAATATGGAATATAATGTGGTTTATTAAATTATTAAAAAGATAGATGCTGAAATTAATTTGAGTTAGGAACTTGGTAAGGCGCACATAACGCGTGCAGATACATGTTGCAGTAGCGTTTTGGGAACACAGTTGTAGATTAGAGCTGCAGAACCCTCTCGGTGGCAAATGATTTGTTTTCATTTCAACGATTTGTTTTCTCTCCAATCTTCTATAGAGTTTGATTTTGATATATATATATATATACACACACATTTATTACGTCATTCTATGCAAATTTATAACTATTAAACGCATCTTTTTTTGTTTGTGAAGGGGTCTATTAATAATGTTTCTTTTCTTATCTCCAGTCGTGGAAAATAATATTCTTCTCCAGATGACAATAAATCGTTTTTCAATTATCTATTAAGTAGTTTTTCAATAAATTTTTTTTTGCAATTCTGTAGGTTGGGTATGTATGAGCTTCTAGTTTTTGTCATTTCCTACGAAGGAATGAAACACATTTACTGTCAAACTGCCATTTTTGTTCGATAACATGTTAGAGCCTATTATAGCTGCATGTCTCCAACAATGGTCATAACTAATTCATTGCAAAAATGGAATTTCTTCAACACCCTGTGTCTAGAGGAGGCAATCTGCGAAGAACAAAATCTCAGATTGATTAGGACTCACTCAGCAAATATAACTTCACTGTTGAGCCCAAAACTAACCTTTCAAAATCCTAATATACATATACGTATACGTGTGTCATATATACGTACTAACCTTTCTAAATCAATAAAGGAATTTCAAAAATACCGAAAGATCTTTAGCAGTAGGAATGTTAATGACTGTAATTTCACATTAACCAAGCATCTTATCTACTGATTTATATATTTAGAAGGCAATTCTTTCTAATATCGTATGATGTTTGATAAGATTTTAACATGTTATGACAGCTACAGGATCTTGTATTAAAATCTTGATTGCCCTATTTCTATCAAAAAATTAATTTTGAGAGAGGTTCAATAAGTCAGCATGTTTGAAGATCTATACTAATAACTACAAGAAACGCGGCAGAATTTGGGCAGGGTGTCTTCTGCACTTTTGCAGCGACTTCTAAAGAAATTGCCGGTATCTTCTGGTGTGAAGCTGTCCCGATCGAAGTGGGAAGAATCAGCAAGAGTTTGAATATTTTCTGGTTGCAGTGAGAAGACGATACTGTTTGGGTTGTTTTGGAAAGAACTGATCTCCTCTTTTATTCATCTACAGTGCATTTAAATACAAGAGGAAATAACCAAAACTCCTACTTCTACATTTACACTATTAAAACAAAATCAAAGGAAATCACAAAAATTCCATAACGGCTAAAAATCCTAACTGTGGCAGATCTTTTTAAGCTGACTGGGTCCTGCTTTTCTTGTTCTTCGTGGCTGCGTCATGGGTCTGCAACATGGATAGTTCAGTCTATATATTTTGGGTTCCGACGTGGTTGCCTTTGTGATCGACGGGGCTTATGATCGCTCTCCCTTTTTACAGGAACTTTGTCCTCAAGGTTTAGTGAGACAAATTGTTCCAGCAGATCTTAGGTGTTTTCCCACATGGCGTCTTCAGTAGGTAAGTGTTTCCATTTCATCAAACTTTTCTCAATGAGCTTAGACCCTTGTTTTAACCCAGCGTGTGTCCAATATGGTTTCTAGATGCAAGATAACATTGCCATCTTCAGTAGTCGTTGGCAGCTCGTTGGTGTGGAAGGTTGTTAAGTCCCCAACCTTCTGTTTGAGCAATGAAATGTGGAAAACAGGGTGAATGCGGGATCCTTATGGAAATTTGAGTTTATATGCTACTACACTGATGCGTTGTTCAATTTGGTAGGACCTGTAAAAGCGACATGCTAATTTTTGAAGTACTCTTTTGAAAACAATATGTTGGCGGTAAGGTTGGAGTCATAAGAAGACCCAGTCCCCTTGTTGAAATTTAATATTGTGCTTTTTTGTGTCGGCGATTTGTTGCATGCGGTTGTTCGCAGCATGGAGATTAGCTTTTAGTTGTTGGAGGAGGTCATTTCTTTATGTTAATTGCTGGTCAACATCATTAATAATTGTGCTACCCTTATGATAGAACGAAATGCTTGGGGGTGGCCGATCATAGAGGACTTGAAAAGACATCATTCCAATAGAAGAGTGGTGAGTGGTGTTATACCAAAATTCTGCCCATGGGAGTAGAGAATGCCATTTCTGGGGCTGCTGGTGGGTTAGACATTTTTGGTATTGTTCCAAACATCTATTGACAACTTTAGATTATCCATTCGTTTGGGGGTGATATACAGAACTCATTTTCGATTGGGTTCCTGATATTTTGAAAAATTCATTTCAAAAGTGACTGATAAAAATTTGATCTCTGTCGCTAACAATGGTTCGTGGCATGGCGTGGAGTTTAACTACTCCTTAAACAAACTTTTCAGCTACTGATATGGCAGTGTAGGGGTGGGATAGTGCTAGGAAATGTGCTAATTTGCTCAACCTATCAACTATCACAAAGATGGTATCCTTTTTATTAGAGTTTGATAGCCCTTATATGAAGTTCATAGAGATGTCATCCCAAACTTGACACGGAATGAGAAGAGGTTGTAGTAATCCGGCAGGTGCAAGAGTCTCAGATTTAACCCTTTAGCATGTTTCACGTGTTGCCACATATTGTTGTATGCCTTGTCTTATAGTTGGCCAATAAAGTTTTTATGCCAGCCGTTTGTAAATCCTTAGGACCCCGGAATATCATCCCAACGGGGAGTCATGGTAAGCTTATAGCAACTGCAGAATGATTTTGGACCCTAAATAGATTATTACATGGTTTTTGTAGTGCAGGAGACCGTTTCTCCATTAATATGGACTGTCGGGGTTGGCTGTGGCTAAGTTGCCTATTATTTTCTGCATATAGGGGTGACTTACTAATTCCTTTTTTATGTCATTCCAAATATGATTTTCACAAGCAAATAAAGCATCCAACGAGGATTCGTCAGGTTATCATGAGAGGGCATTTGCTGCTTTATTTTCCTTATCAGGCTTATAAACAATTTCATAATCATACCCAAAAAGTTTAGATATCCATTTTTACTGTTTAGGTGTGGTGACGCTGGTTCAAGAGATGTTTTAAGCTCTGGTGGTCAATTCTTGTCACAAATTTATGCCCCAACAGATATGATCTCCAAGTCTGAACGAAAATGACAACGGCTAACATTTCCTTAGCATATGTGGACCACACTTGTTTGGTCGTCCCTAGTGCCCGACTCATATAGGCAATTGGCTTCTCATTTTGGTTGAGGACGATGCCAATTCCTTTTCTTGAAACATCTATTTTTATGGTGAATGACTCACTGATTTGGGAGAGTCAAAGTAAGGGTGGATGTCATGGTCTGTTTAAGTTGTTTGAATGTCATTTCAGCCTCCTCAATCTATTTGAATTGTCCATTTTTTAGTAGCTGCGTGAGGGGCTTGGCCAAGATTCCATAATTGAGTATAAACTTCCGATAATATCTTGTAAGGTTTATAAATTCCCGTAGCTCTGTAATAGTTGTTGGTTTATGCCAATCTAACATAGCTTGCATCTTTTCTTGATCCACCTTAACCCCTTGTGGAGTGATGATGTGCCCCATGTATTCCAACTTTTGTTGTCCAAACACACTTTTTTATCTTGACGAAGAATTTATATTGCCTTAAGATTTAGAAAGTCTACCTTAGGTGTCCCTAAGTGAGAAGTCCAGTTAGGACTACATACCACTATGTCATCGAAGAAAACCAAGATAAACTTTTTCAAATGTGGCCGAAATATGGTGTTCATAATGGCTTAAAATGTAGATGGGGCGTTGCAAAGACTGAATGGCGTTACGGGGTATTCGTAGTGCCCGTTATGAGTTCTGAAGGCTGTATTTGTTGTGTCTGGTGGGTATACTCGAACTTGGTGGTAGCCTGATGTAAAGTCCAATTTGGTGAAGAAGGTAGTGCCACGCAACTCTTCTATCATGTCCTCGACGGTTGGCATGAGGAAACGATCTTTAATGGTGAATAAATTCAGCATGCGATAATCCGTATTGAATCTCCAAGTACCATCCTTCTTCTTCACTAGCAGGACTGGTGATGAAAAGGGACTGATGCTCGGCTTAATGATACCCATATCCAGCATACTTTGTACTTGTTGCTCAATTTTTGCCTTCTGAAACTAAGCATATCGATAGGGTCTAACATTAACATGTTATGTCCCTTCTTTTAGTGTAATATGATGATCGATGTCCTGGGTCAGTGGAAGTGTGTTGGGTTCTTGAAAAATATCGACAAACTCATCTAACAGCTGCTGGATATCCCTTTCAGCCACTGGCACAATCCTTGCCTAGGTGGTCTGTATATTAACTGCAAAGAGGGAGGAAGGTTGTCGTAACTCCTTGGTTGACACCATCTGTGGTGGTTATTTCAGTCTTTGTAGAATTTGTGGCGTACCATTCCAGATAAATTCCATACTCATTTTTTTCCAATCACAGATTACTTACCCTAATTATTTAAACCAATTGATCCCTAGCACCAAATCAAGATCAATCAACAACAAATAGTAGAGATTCACAGTAAAAGGCATACCTTGGATGTCAACCTTGACATTTTCGAACCTTTCTTGCCATTTTAGTGGCTATTCGTTGGCTACTTTAACCTAGAAGGGAGCGGTCCGCACCACCTGAAGCTGTGATTGGTGCGCGACCTTATCACTGATAAAGTTGTGCGTGGACCTGTTATCAATGAGGGCCACCACCTTTCGCCTTTGTATAGTTGTTGGGACGCGTACCGTCCAGGCTTATGACCACCCAATGAGTGCGTGGAGGGAGATCTCAGGTTCTTTGGTCGCTGGCTCTATTTCATCTTCGATTTCGTTCCCCCACCATCGAGCAACAGTAGTTGAGGTTTGCGGCAACAATGGCCGATTGTAAACTTCTTATCGTAATTGAAGCACAACCCTTGGGATCGCCAGCGTTGCATTTCCTCCCACGAGAGGCGTTTTGGTGCAGGTGTCGTAACGATTAGGGCACACGGGGCTTGTTCAGGTAAAGCTGCTGTGGTGGACAGGTTTCAACCCGACCGAGTTAGTCTGCTTTGCCGGTCCAATTGTTCTTTCTGCATATAAGCCAGACCTATAGCTTTTTTTTAGCGTATTGGGTCTGAACATATGGATCCCATCTGCAATCTCAAGCTTGAGCCCACTAATGAAGGTCCCAACCAGGACCTTTTGGGTCCATCCGCGAACACAATTGCCTAGGCGCCTGAGTTCTTTCTGGTACTCATGGAGTGGGTCGAACTGGTGGACGCAGGACATGGCTTCATTAAAATCTTCGAATTCGGTCTGCCTAAAGCAGGCCCATATCTCGTCCTCAAAAACGACCTAAGTAACCTCCCGACCCTCTTCTCTGTACGCACTCTAGAGCCACTGCCACCATTAGTTAACCTCTCCCTCCAGGTAGAACGCCGCTAGGGAATCCTTGTGTGATGTGGAACCCAAGATCAACTAATGTAATTAATAACTCACATAATTTCATTTAACAGCGTCAAAGGAATTGATCCTATAAAAACCCTTCATACTGAACCCACTATCAAGAATGATAGGAACTAAGGTAATTGGAAATGAAAGAAATAGAACGGAAAAACGTCACAAGATCGTACATTGATAAGTAGATCTACTCTTTACTCAACAAGATGATAGAAGAACTTCTCTTGAAAAAAAATACTATTATTGAAATAGTTTCTGAATGTTTTACAATGAAGACTTGGTGACATATTTATAGGTTAAGCTAAGTAAATAAAAAAGAAAATAAAATCTCTTAATTTAATTTGCAATTACATTAAAAATAAATTAAAAATTAAAAATTAAAAATTAAAAACTAATTTCTTAATTAAGATAAATTTAATCTTTCCCTTTAATTAAAAGAGATTGCGGTCAAATTAATAAGAAGACATATAAAAATTTAGGGTCAGCCATAAAATATCCTTTTTGGCCTATTTCCTCCCCTTTCTTTGGATTGAACATTCTATTTCCGATCCATGTCTATGCTCACATCATTGTATGGTTCAGCCGTGCCTTCAAATTCAAAAAACTGAGCGGTACAGTTAAACCATTTTGTAGGGTCGTCACCGGAGTAAACTGGGAACTCCAATTTGGCAAGCTTGGAGTAAAACAAGTTTTGCCCCGTCTCTTCTCTCTCGGGGCCATCGTCGCGAGGTAATCACGTCCGGTTTGATCGGCTAGCCGAGTTGCTGCTGGAACCTTCACGATTTGTCGTCATTGATTCGGTTAGATGCCTAAGGGCTTCTTTGATTTGTTGGAATTTATCAACCATCCTGACTTCAAGTCGGCTCATGCTGTCTTGCAGGCCACGGAGTCCCATATCTATATTCTCGATACGCTCTTTGTTGGATACCATGTTATTTCTGTTATAATACCAATGATAAGTCCCAATCAGAGTGGGAAGAATCAGTAAGAATTCAAATGTTTTCTGGTTGCAATGAGAAAATGACATTGTTTGGGTTGTTTTGGAAAAAATTGATATGCTCTTTTATTCATCTGCAGTGCATTTAAATACAAAAGAAAATAACCAAAACTCATACTTCTACGTTTGCACGATCAAAACAAAATCAAAGGAAATCACAAAAAATCCTAACTAGGTAGATCTTTTTTAGCTGACTGGGTCCTGCTTTCCTTGTTCTTCGTGGCTGCGTCGTGAGTCTGCAATGTGGATAGTTCAGTCCTTATATTTCGGGTTCCGATGTGGCTGCCTTTGTGATCGACGGGGCTTATCAACACACTATTTACGTACCCAACTTCATAATTTTTTGCTATAAAATGTCGATAATTTTCTTTGAGAGTAAGAACTACATGCTTTTCAAATATCTATTCACATTAATAAAAATAAAAATTAACTTTCATAAAAGTCATAGACAAATAAGATAATTTATGGATAAAATTCTATCAAACTTATTAGGAATATCCTACAAACTTTTATATAAATGTTAATTCACAATATACATCAATCTTCCATTAATGTATGATAACTTGCATCCAATGATCTAACTACCAGTCTCTTAATAAATTAAAAATATAAATATAAATATAAATATTTTAGTTAATAAAATATAATATAATAAATTACAAAATTATTAAAAATATAAACTGATAATTTAAAGAAATATATCGAATAAAAAGATAAACATGATTTACAAATTGTATTGTTTTATTCCTTTCGGATTGATCATCATTATTTCTACTTCACTATGCGACAGTTGCATTGAGTTAAAAGATAAGCTTTTATGCAACCATTGTAAAGAGTTTTATATATATATATATATATATATATGGGATCGTAAGACGATATATATGCTACCAATGCCTTTGTGATTGACAATTTATATTTTGAAGTTGAGATTGCTTGCTGTTTTTACTTATAACTACTAGTTTCTTGGACTATATTATCTATAAGTTTTTTTTTTCTTCAAATTTTCAAACAATAAACAATAAACTCATCAGCCACCATTTCGGCTCTCTTTAACAACGGAAAGGCACAAGGCTACGAAAATGGAAGCTTGAGAGCTCAAGGTGACAGACAATGCCATCTTAACAATATTTTTTTTTAGATAGACAGACGTATACATGCAGATTTCATCCATATTTTCAGATGGCTTGGAACCTCAGCAATTTCAAATTAGTTTTGTCCACTTGAAACACTGGAGAAGTAGTATCAGTCTGATAAGAGACTGTCTCATTTACACTCTTTCGTACAATTTAATGTCTCAGACAAAACCTAACCAAGAATCTTTCATCTAGAACAAATCTAACCTCAAAATTTTACCAAAGGTGAAACTAATAACAACTGCTGCTTCTCCTTCATCACTTCAGTTATCGCGTCTCCTTCTACGTGGAGCAGCAGCTTCCTCCTTCTCGCTTTCTTCTGTCTTCTCCTCCCCACTTCCCTTGTTGTTCGAAGACTCACCAACTTCAGCCTTTTTGCTCTCAACTTTTGCCTGCAAAATCTCATCCATCAACTTCTTCTATATGGAACAAAAATCAGATACATCAAGAAATCGAGAACAAAGAGGACTTAGGACTCACCGCTACTTTCTTCTTCCCACCAAAAAGGATTTTGAAAAGAATTGTGAGGGTTATCACCAAAATGGAGACAATGATGCCAATTGTGAGATTTGGCTGTGTCTCTCCCTTTTCAATGAGATCCTGAAAGACAGTTTGGCATTCAGTACGAATCCATAAACGTGAGTTACAGAACAATAATGGTTACCTATTACTTACAAGAATCTTAGACTTGTGGGAGCTGAGGAAAGGAATATCAGCAACCTTGTACAGGACGTCAAACACTTTCTTCTGCAAAAATTTGAAGCCAAATGGTTATATGGTTATAATAAACTCATATGTATATCTTAGGAAGGAGACAAAAGGTTCCTCAGCATTACCTGGAAACCTCGTAAGCCATCTGATCCTGCACTTTCATCCTCAGCCTTCTGTTTCTCTTTCTCAACTTGAAACTTTGGCTTCCAAGTAGTCTCCCTATATGACTCTGCAATCTTCTCGTCATTGGCTATCAATACATTGTCAAATAATATACCATCTTGCATTGTCCAAATCTCAATCCCAACAGCAGCAATAGGCTCAAAATCAGTTTCTCAACGTCAAAGTAGTTTGGATTTGGAATCTCCCTAGCTTCCAAATACCCTTGTAATTTGGGGTTGTCATAAGGGTGCATGCCATTTTCCCT